CATGCGTTTGCTGTAATACTCGAGCGGACGCAGGCCATCACCATCATCTTGTTGCAGCACTGCACCAATCCCGAACTGGCTCGCGTCCGTAGTAACTACGAACGTGAGGTTGGGGTCTGCAATGCGAAGCACAGGATGACTCACCAATGCCTCTTTCAAGGCTTGGAACGCAGACTCACACTTCTCACACCATGCATAGGCAACATTCTTGTTGGTTAGCCTTGAGAGCGGGTGAGCGATAATAGAAAATTTGGGTACAAACTTCCGGTAATAAGAAGCCAAACCGAGAAAAGAACGCAGTTCGCGTACGTTCGCCGGTTGAGGCCAGTTTTGAATGACCTCAACCTTGGTTGCCTTCGGCTCAAGGCCGTTTGCAGACAACCGGTGCCCGAGATAGATGACACTGTCCCTACCAAACTCAGATTTTTCCAAGTTGAGGTGCAGTTGAGCTTCTTTGAGGACTTGCAAAACCTCCTCAAGATGCTTGACGTGCTCATCCATGGACTTGCTGAAAATCAGAATGCCGTCAAGGTACACAACCACAAACTTGTTAAGCTGATGGCGGAGTACCTTGTCCATGAGGCACTGAAATGTGGCTGGCGCATTCGTCAGTCCGAAGGGCATAACGATGAATTCATACAACCCATCGCGTGTCTTGAACGCAGTTTTGTGTTGGTCGCTAACCAGACTTGAGGTCGATCTTGGAAAAAACCTTGCACCCACCTGCCGCATCTAGCCGATCATCAATGCGGGGCAAAGGATACGCATTCTTTCGGGTGATTCGATTCAGGCCACGATAATCAATACACATCCGGAGTTTGCCTCCTTTCTTTGGTACAAACAAAACAGGTGCACCAAATTCAGACTCACTGTGCCTAATCCATCCACGGTCACATATCATCAATTTGCCATCTCAACTCCTCCAACTCGCCTTCTCCCATACGGTAGACGCAGCCCTTTGGAGGAACACTCCCTTCTACTATCTCGATCTTGTGTTTGACTGGACGCTCGGGTACTCCGCGAGGTTCAGCCAAAACTTCAGGAAATCAATCTAATAGAAGGCGAATGTTCGCTGGGATTTCCGGTGGCGGATCATCCTCATCAGGGGAGAGAAAATCAGATCAAGAATTTACAGCAATCACAACCGGTTTCGAAGTATTTGGATCAGAAATAGATTGATCATTTACAGTAGAAGTAAGTGGAACAGAAGTAGCAGTAGAGGTAGAGTTACCTTCAGAGGTAGAAAATGCAGCAAAAGTAGAAGGCACATGGAGAGGCTTTACAAGAGCTATATGTACAGACTCAGCTTCCTTGCGCTTGCGCACTGACCTGCAGAATTTGTTAGCACTGAGAAGAGTCACAGGGGACTCGCGCGTCTCATCTAACAAGACAGTACGCTCGTTCCCCTTGGCGTCAAGTACCACGAACTGGTTGTGCGCCCACGTGGTCCTTAGTCAATGAGCCTTTAGCCAGCCCAAGCCAATGACCGCGTCGAAAGGACACTTGTCCAAGACATAGAAATTCAGCTCATGTGTGACAGTGCGATCTTTGTCAAAGGTGATGCGCACACCTTTGACAGCATGAGTGGAAGTGACAACCTCTTGGTTGCCCACCTGAGTCCGACAAGGGTTCTGCAGTTCCACTTGCTTCATACCCAGGCCCGCCTTACGAATCCCGTTCGGAGAGAAGAAATATGTGGTCGAACCACTGTCAATCAGCACACGGATGTATCAGCGGTTAATGAGTAGTTTAAAGAAAGTCAGCTCCACGCTCCCTTGAACACGGCGTTGCTGCTTGAGCTGCAGCCAATGCTCCATGTGGKCGTGGAGGTCGACCTCTTTAGAATCCTCCCAAGGCTCAGTGTATAGAACTTGGACTATATCAGCCTTGGAGTCAGCATTAGTTTGGGCTTCAAGAGCACGCTGCTGATCAGATCCAGGCTCCTCGGAAGGGCCTGCAACTGACTGCCCAGCTTCCCTTGCTGTAGAGAGTGCTGATGACTCCTCTACGCCGCTTGCCTGTTTCCCTGAAGACGATAGCAATCCTGCACAGCATGCCCAGACTTTTGACAATGCAAGCATATGCGCAGGTTGGATCTTCTTTCCCATTCCTTTTGAGTGATGAGGAGAGCTTCCCAAGGCTTGGTGGAAGCGTCCTCCGGTTTCTCAGGGATCTTAGCATTTTTGGGAAGGTGTAAGACAGTTCCCTTACCTGAACCATGGTTAGGCCCCTTATTTGAAGCAGTCTTTCTGAATGCATTAAGCTTCTCATCATCATTTCTGTCACACTCAATGGCTGAAGTGGAACAACCCGTATCGGAGTCCGGCTCTAGATCGTCATCTAGAGACAGATCATCCGCATAGGACTGATCGTCAGCCTCCCGATGATCATGCAGTGCAAGCTGGTTGCTGCTTCCAAACCGCTTGCGTTGTGGTTTCCCACCTGCAGCGGGCGCCTTCTTGCGCCTGGCGAGGTCCTTGGCCTCTAGGTCGACTAGGTCCTTCATGAGCTCTCGCCAGGTAGCATGGTCCTTGAGTGCTAGCAGGGAGAGGTATTCTTTAGGGGCCACTCCCATGACTACATCCATACAAGATACGTCAGTCATTCCCAGATCCGGAGTGGTGAACAGACCAGTTAAGTGTTGTTCCAAAGCTTGCATGGATGACCTCCATGTTTGGCCCTTGAGGGCCTCAAGCTTCAGCCTAGCCTTGAGCGCAGCATGTTTATCTCGGTACCGATCAAGGAGAAGATCCTCAAGGGCGCGGACAAGGGTGACCTTCAGCCAATCAGTCAGGTCTATGCGTTCATAGCCTGCTGCGACAGCTTGGAGCTCAATGTGGTTTCGTACGGCGGGCTCAGTATTAGTCCCCATGATCATACTTCAGTCTTCTTGCGGTGTCCGCATGACTTCGAAGTACGACCTCATGGAACTAATCCAAGAGGTGATATCTGCCTTCCCGTCGTACTTGGACGGCAGCGTGGCCGCCCGCTTGTCCACCATCGGACCTCTGTACTGAACGCCAGTAGGAACTGCGGCATTTTGGGCTGATGTCCCTGCATTCGGGACCATGACCAGCGCAGAACTGCCGGTGCTGCCGCTCGAGGAATTGGCGCCGGTTCTTGCGCTTGCCACGGTTCCGCTTGCCCTTGGCACGAGGGCTGTGTTGGCTTGAGAGGTTGGGATTATAGCAGATCGAGGGTTAGGATGGCGGGAGGCAGACAATTGGGACTGTTCGAGGCTAATTACCTTAGCCTGCAGCTCTTCGTTCCGCTTCTCCAGTGCTGTCATACGGGACTCAAGGTTTTCCAAGGTCCGCAGTCGGACCAAGGCTGCTACAGCAGCAGCTAGTTCCTCCTGGAACCGGTCAGCATTGGCTTCCGGGATCC